TATATATATATATATATACATATCTATGTATATCTCTAGATATATATGCATTTCCCCAAGATAAATTACGGACTTACATATAACACTTAAAACTACATAATTTCTAAACTAGGGGTGGTGGTGCCTACTTGTAATCCCAGCACTCAGGAAGAGAACTGCAGCAAGCACGAGGCCAGCCTGGGCTAAACAGCGACTTCAAGGCCAGCCTGAACTACATCTTGAGACCCTGTCATTTTAAAACTGTAATTTCTAGATTAGAACACAGAAAATCTTTGTGGCCTCTGGTTTGCTAAGAATTTCTCAGCTATAGAAGCAAAAGCATAATTTATGAATGAAAAAAATGTAAAATACACAATCAAAATTCAGATTTTTTTTCCTTTAAAAGCACCATTGAGAAAATTAAAACACGCCACAGACTAACAGAAAAATATCTGTTCATAAACTTCAATCCAGAACAGAGAATAAGACAGGCTTCCAAATTTTAAAAGGGGCAAAATATTTTAAGTGGCATTTCACCAAACAAGATATAAACAGCTAAGCACATGAAAAGATGTGTAACGTCATATAGTCACTATAGAAATTCAAGTTAAAACACAACGAATTTTAATCCCTGCCTCCACAAAAACAAACAAACAAAACACAATGAATTTTATTACTACAGATCTATTACACAATGGCAATAACTAAAAAGTGGTGGGCCAGGGAGATGGCTCAGTAGAATAAACGCTTGCCAGGCAAGCACAAGGGTCAGAGTTCAATCCCCGGTTCCACAAAAAAAAAAAAAAAAGTGATAACCCAGTCCTCAGTTTATAAAGAAACTAGGATTCTCATATCACACTAGTGGGAGGGGGAAAACACAGCGGGTTCACATGGAAGGGCTGCAGCAGGAAGAAGTGGGGCACAGCAGCCAGACCCAAGGTAATAACTCTACCAAAGCTCTGCACCAAAGGTCAGAAGACAGTATTATACGAAATGTGAAAGAAAAGGAGCAAAATGCATTCTCAGGCCCCGAGCCCACCCAGAACAAATGCAGGAGACAACAGCAGAGAAAAACTTGGAAATCACACACCTGAAATCTCTGGTGAAGTAAAGAAACAACTGCAGAAAGGTATAGAGGAAATCAGATCAGGAATAATTTCTGAAGTAAAAAAAGAAATGATAACTGTAGTGAAAATAGTACTAAGTGCTTCTAAAGAAGACACTGATAAAAAAATAGCGGAGAAAAGAAAAATGATGGAATCCTTGAATGAGCAATATAGGAAAGAAATAGAATACATGCCACAGATTCAAAGTGCTACACAGGAAATTCAAACCTCAATCACAAGCCGGCAAAACCATTTGAATGAAAGTGAAAACAGACTTTCAGAACTTGAAGACACCATTGCAGCTACTGAAAAGGTAAGAAAAGATCTCTTAAAAACAACTAGAATACAAGAATAAGCACCAATGAGAAAGAAGGAGTCAATAAAAATAATATAAAAAGAATATGGGAAGAATTAATACAGAAAACTTCACAAATTTGGGGAAACAATCTGACATTCAACTAACCGAAGCATACAAACTCTAAATAACATCAACCCAATGAAAACCACCACCAGACATATAATAATCGAGATCCCAGAAATTCAGCATAGGAACAGTATACTAAAAGCTGCTAGAAAAAAGAAACAGATCACATTTAAAGGAAAACCCATCAGAGTAACAGCAGATTTCTCTTCACAAACCATCAAGTCAAGAAGAGCATGGAGCAAAGTACTTCAAGTCTTGCAAAAAAAACAAATGCCAACCTAGACTGATATATCCTGCAAAACTCTCTTTCAAGTATAATGGAGAAGTAAAATATTTCCATGACAAAGAACAACTAAAGAATTTCATGACAACAAAGCCAACTCGGGGCTGGAGAGATGGCTCAGTGGTCTAAAGCACCTACTGAGAACAAGCTTGGCAAAGCACAGGGACCGCGGTTCGATCCCCCAGCACCACATGCCAGCCAGCCCCGCCCCAGGTGGGCTGAGCTGGACACACACACACACACACACACACACAATAAATAAATGTTAAAAAAAAAAAACAAACCAACCCTACAGAATACTAAAAGATATTCTAGAAAGGGATCAAAATGACCACAACTCCATGAATGAGAATGGAAAGAAGCCACCAGATAGGGCAAACAATTAAACACAGGAGAAAAAGAGGTATACAAAAGCAGCATTTCAATTATTCTTTTGCATACAGCAGCAAGATAATTCCATCAGCATATTCTACAAAGGGACCTCTCCTGTACCCTATGGATCATGATTCTGTCTGGGTCTACAGGGTGGATATCAAGGAAATAGAAATAGCTCAGTCCCACAAGTGACACCTGGCCACCAGTAAGTGTCATGGACACTGACAACATCCACCACATACTAGAACTTTGTACGATATCCTATCCCCAAACTGTTAGAAGTGCTGGTCATATATTTGCCATTCCAGTATTTCTGTTATGTTTTATTCTTAGTAATTCTTTATTATTATGAAAACTTTTTCTTAGTTGCTAATTTTATATATATTAACCTAATCAAATATTGTGTGAGTACTCTGAATTGATCACAGATTCATGCATATGATATATTACATTTGGCCTCTTAGTCACAATTTAATCTTAATTTTTGAATATTATTTTGAAATATCGGGCCAGGGAGATGGCTCAGTAGAATAAGAGCTTCCCTGGCAAACACAAGGCCCTGAGTTCAATCCCTGGTTCTGCAAAAAAAAAGGGTCAAAGATTGATACTGTTTTGCGGAAATCTCCAATGACCTTTTTTTTAAAAAAAATTTAGGGGCTGGAGAGATGGCTCAGTGGTCTAAAGCACCTACTTGAAACAAGCTTGGCAAAGCACAGGGACCGCGGTTTGATCCCCAGCACCACATGCCAGCCAGACCCGCCCCCTGGTGGGCTGAGCTGGCCACACACACACACAATAAATAAATGTAATAAAAATAAATATTTAAAAAAAAAATTTATATGGCCATGAATTGTTTTTCTTTTGCATTTTAGCGAAAGGTCTACAGGGTGTTCAGGGTCTCACAGCTAGATTGGACTCATAATGATCTGCTTGTTTACAGCCTCCCAAGAGCTGGGATTATAGGAGCATGCCACTACGCCCAGTCTCAATTGCCATCTCAGCATGCCCTGAAGGCGGGGCTGGTGTGGGAGGCCCCGGGTATCGAACCCCTGGCCCAAGTGCCTGCTTGTAGGCGCTTTAATCCACTGAGCTATTTGGCTGGCCCTTCAATGACCTTTTAAATAGCTTCATCTAATATATTTTACATAGTCCTGCATAACTACCATTTTGAAAGCTCTTTGTTCTTTTTTTTTTTTTTTTGGCTGGCCCAAGCTGCCTTAAGGGAGGGTCTGGTAAGGCATGGGGAGCTGGGGATCAAAACACGGTTCCCTGCACCTGACTGCATTGGCCCCAGCAGGGGCTTAAACAACTGAGCTAACCTGCAAGCTCCCAAGCTCTTTATTCTTTATCCAGGACCATACAGCAACTTCTCCTGTCTTCTGGATTATGGTCTTTGTTATTTTCTGTATGCTACATGTGGAGGTAAATTAGAATATTTTGAGTTTGTGTAACTGGAAAATATTTTACTTTTAGTTTTCAAAGATGTTTGCTAAGTATAAAATTCAATGAGAACGAATTTTTTTTTCAGTCCTTTGAATAAATAAGTCTAGTTTCTTACCCCCTCCCAAAAAAGATGATGTCATTTACATAAATTTCAAGAAAAAGCAAAAGTATGACAGAAGCAGATCAATGGTTGCCTGGGGCTGAAACTGAAGATTAACCTAAAGAACTTTTGGGAATGGTAGACGTATTCTAAACCTGGACTGTGGTCATGATTCTGCACTATATGAATTTACTGCTATTCATCAAACTGAGTCGTAACGTTGAATTTATGAGGTAGTAATTATACCTCAACAAGGTTGCCTTTCAATAAATGTATTTACTTACCATTATAGCCTTCAAGAACAGAATCAATAATAGGTCTTGCAGTTAAGTTGTAAACGTCAAGTTGTTTACTTTCTGGTCCAAAAACGGTATCAAAAGTAAACGTCTTTGGAGGCTCATTGGAGGAATCAGTCTTATGCACGGTGATGGTTCCCCTCATCTCATCCACACTGACCGCCTGCCTGTAGCACATGGACTTCTCTCTCTCATTGAGGGGCCGGCACCTAACGACCACCTTCACATTATCGCAGCTTTCCGGCTTCTCTGACTTATTGATCTAGTGGAGGCAATAATTACAAACAGTGAAAATTACATTTTACTTTTGCCCTCAAAATATTAAATTTAGGTTTGAAAAAAACTTTGCCATCTTGCTGGCTTGCATAGGTTCAGACTTTAGAAATCTTGGCTAAATACAATTACATATCTTAAACATAGGAAAAGTTTATTAAAAGATATGAAAAGGAAATAGCTTATTTTGTAATTCAAAAGGTGACACTAAGTCTACATTCATAGTAAATGCTATACAAACAGAAAATGAACTAGTATATTAGAGATTATCTTCCGTACAAAAATCCTGTACATCCTCTGAATTTCCTGCCCATAGTAAAACACACGTGAACATGGTTAATAATTTTTACTCAAGAATATAAGAAGTCCTTTGTTCCTCCCAGACACCTAGTTCTACTTTCCATTATGCTTGAGTAAAACATTTATCACATCTCCACATATGGCTTATTTTCTCTAGAGAAGACAGCAAGAACAACAGAAAAGAAACTGCAATGGCAGGCAGAGAAAAATGGCTTAGTATGACATACACTTATGAACAATTACATGTATGTGTAAATTTCAATTTTTGAAATTTCACATGATTAAGAATCTAGAATAAGGGGGCCGGGGAGATGGCTCAGTGGAATAAGCGCTTCCCTGGCAAGCGCAAGGGCCTGAGTTCAATCCCCGGTTCCACCAAAAAAAAAAAAAAAAAAGAATCTAGAATAAAACACAACCTATTATTTAAGTTCAATAACTTAGTTGAACAAATATTTATTAAATTTCCACAATTTCAGATATCAGTTTAAACATTAAAGAGAAATAAATACAAACTATGCTGTTGACTATGATATTGTCACGGACAAGTAACATAATACCAACACAATAGTCCTCTGTCTCTGCTTTCGTCACCTTAGTCCAGGTCAGTATGGCCTGGGCTCTAGACTACAGCCTTCTATGTGTACTCCTGCATTTAATGAAACAGACCTGCAGTTCACACGGCAGTCAGTTTTAATGACTTCCCTCACTTCCCCACTGAACATTCAGTAGAATCCCTTAGATCTTGAGATAAAAATGGAAAGACTTCAGACGGTAAGATCCGGGTCCCACCAGGTCAGCTAGAGCTTATCTCCTAAGACACTCCAATGGCAGCTAAGGCACAGGCTCCTGGGCCTGGGTTTCTCTCCTAGTCACCATACCTTTCTCCTCAACGGCCTTTCCATGGGCTGCTCCTTCCGCCTTAGAACATTCCTCAAATCTCTCTCCATTTATGTAACACCCCTCCGGAACCAATCTCAGCTCAACAGCCACTTCATCTGGGAACCCTTCCCTCACTGTCTAATGCTTGCACGGGCTCTGATAGCTATTTCACAAATATAACATCTTTTAAAGTCTTTAGGAAAAAAAAATACATGATCTGAAGAAGCCCAACACATTGGACATGGCCACGCCTTCCAGTTCACACGACTCTGTGTCTACTGCGTGGCAGCCACCCACAACGTTCACTGAGGATGTCTCTCACCTCTATGAACATCTTTTAACTTCTGCCTGAGAACAAAAGGGTCTCTCTTTCCAAACTCAAGGACCTGGCCAGTTTTGCTCAATATTGTATATCCAAGGCCTACCACGCAGTTGGTCCCCAGCATCTACTGAATGGATAACTTAAAAGCAGCAAAAAGAGGCACGGAGCGTTTCATGCTAAATGTCAAACCCTGTCTTTCAAGTTTCTTCTGCATTATCTTATTTCACCCCGAATAATTCCAGAAGGAAGAGTTCAATTATGCGTGAACCAAGGGCCCACTCAGGCCTCACAACCGATACGTGTAACTATGGTTCAGGTTTTCTCCACGGTCTCTTACTGGATTCACAATAACCCCTTAGGAAGGGCACAGTAACAATCTGCGCACCTCCACGGCCACTGCCCCTCATCCATCCCCAGTAAAGACGCCTAAGGGTGGCTTACTTCTGCACCGTAAGCTCCACCGCCCCGCGAGGAACGACTGACAGCACGAGCCCAGGACGCGGAGTCCGGGCCTGGACCGAGGCGGGCAGCCTCGCCCGCAGCCCCGCGAGCGGCGCCCCCGACCCTGCCCGCAGGCCCCGGCAGCCGCGGCCTCCC